ATGGCAATGAAGATTTAAGCGAATGAAACAAGTATGATAATTGCTAAATTAAATAGTTAGGACATAAGTCGTATGTATATATCATGAAAGGCTTGACTGCTTGATTTCAAAATTACAGGCTATCGTGTGTGTTTGAAGTTTCATATTAATTTAATATTTTAGGTCTCGAAAAGACGATAAACTTGTCAAAAAACTTTTAACTTTCCTCGAAATTATTTAATTCATTGATTCTTTTCTTTTTTCTTCCAGAAAATTGATTAATCCTACGTATTACATGGAAAACTTGGAAGTAGAAATAATTTATATTTACAATAACTTCATGATTATACTGAACCCTGTTACAAACATAAAAACGTATTTATATTTTATAAAAACGTAATATTTTTTAAATTATAAATAATAAAAGAAAAACGTTTTGTTGAAAGGACACAAATATACCATTATTATACCTTATAACATATGTATGTGATAATTAATTTAAAAAAAACTTTTAAAAAATTACTTTTTTATTTCACTAATTTAAAATTTTTAAAATTGAATATTTTTAGAAGTAATGAATAAATTTTTTGTATAAATTTAATTATAAGTAAATCAGATCATAAAAAATAATGATCTGATAAGTAAAATCAGATCATAAAAAATTAACGCTGGTCGCTATTTCTATTATGAACAAATAATAATTTAAAAATAATATCAATATTGTGTGTGTGTATTTAAATATTACATGATGAAATAAAACTGCGTTCCATAAGCATCATTGATACTTTGAGCGAATATAATTTTCATTTGGACGATATATTTATCACATGATAAAAGATTAAAAAAGGATCATTAGTAACTATGAGTATAATAAATTTAAATTAATTTGATTTATTTTTAAATTGTTAAAAAATATCACTACTAACATATATTTTATTATAGTTATTATAGAAATTATCGAAACATTGTGGTAAATTCATGGCAATATTAAATTATTTCAAAATAATTTGTATTTGTAAAAGCAATCGCTATAAATATTTTAGATTTATTTTTTTTTATCAAACAGAATGAGACAAACATAGATGATATGTGAAACTTTATGTTGTTAAAAAAGCGAAAATGTGATTCGTAATTTCTGCATGCAAGTATAATATAATATGTGTATTATATGCGTTGTTACAATTTTCCAAATGTTAATTACAATGCAATTGAATGAAATTGCAAATCGCAAAGATTTTCTTCAAGAGAATTTATTTATCCCTAATTTAATTTAAAGTGAAGCATTATATATATATATATATACATATATATATATAATGCGGTACAAAAATATATTGTCAACGAATATTATATTAATAATGAATATTAAATTTCAAACTTATCAAGTTGAAACACCGGCCTCGAAATAGCAACATGCAATGAATTTTGTTTAGCATATACTTATTTTAGCATAGCAATATCAATTTTGACCTACATATTACTATTTCACATATTATAAATAATATCGCAAAGAAATCCTGGCTAGCATCAGTTTTTTACTAACGACTAACGTGTCCGACAAAGAGCGTTATTTAATAATAGCTTAAACAAGAAGATTCTAAATGCATCAATAGCACAATAATCTAGAATATTTTTATCTAGAAATATATGTTTTATATTTATTCGCCTTTGACTACGGTCTTTGACTTGATGCTACAAATACTTCGAAGAATTTTTTGATTGATCAATTAGTGAAATTCCTTCTTCCGAATGGTCAATCAAATGCTTCGAAGCATTTGTAACGTCAAGTGGACTGCACCATTTATTATTTACAATTAGTTTCGAATTAATTATATTTTTTCACTAGCTTTTGAATATTTATTGAGTTTAACACAAGTATAATCTGACTGTTTAAGTTTGACCAAGCTCGATGTTGCTGCGATATTTGGCATGTTGGAGAAAGTTATGGAATTAAGCATTTAGTAACAAAAATGTCGACCTGTGATTATTATATAAAAATATCGCGTTTGTGTTGTGTGCAATCGAGACAGCATTTGTTTCCATTATACGTTGCATATACTATTGTATTCCCATCGTCAGCTCATTAAGTATCTTACAACGGTAACATTAGAGTTCGACGATTTTTAGTCGAACACGCTCAAATACGATTCAGGAAGTAAGCCTCCTCGGTTTAGCATAAATATAAATATGTTGTGTAACGCGTACTTAAACGAAATAAGATCCACATTGTTAAATGCATTCAATTATCGTATGATGAGTCGTCGCGAGTGCCGCATTCTAGTATAAGATAGCACAATGGCGAAACGAAATGATCGGCGTCAACGTCATTGAACCCCGTTATAGTACATAATGAGCATGTATGTTAACAAAATATATTCCCGACCTGCATATTTATAAAAGTGAGAGTGAGAGATTGCAAGTTGTTAACGTATAATAATTATAGGGTCTCACAATATTACGTTAAGATATAGATAAATGTGTGCATTGTATCCGATAGCTCTGTAGTTTCACCGATACACGTTCATCTCTCTATATAAATGAGCCGATATATACATACATACATACATACAATAGGATTCACCGAGAGGCCGCACGGGCATTTGTTTCGCCAAAAAAAAGAAGGATGAAGATCTTTTAGCATGTAACCCAGAGAACACTATATAGCGTACCACAGCATACGTTCATTGTATGATACTTACGGATGTTTAAATCCAATTTAACGTCCGACATTTTTACGCGGAAAAATACCGTATGTAAAAATCTGTAAGTGTCATTCCCCCTTCCTCCCCCCCCCCTCTCTCTCTCTCTCTCTCTGACAAGCGTTTAAATTCAATATTTTAACCGTAACACTCACAAACATCTCTGATAGCCTATTTTTATAAACAAGCAATAGTTAACGGGTAGCTTCTCGAGACCTTACTTGGCATCATTTCGCGCCCCTCAAATCGTTTGGAAATATGTAAGACGAGCAGATAGAAATTCGAATTCAAACCGCTGCCACTTCCAGTGCACTCTTAATTTGTAACAAATAACATACAAAAATAACAAATTGATAATTTTATACTTGAAATCCATACTTGTAAGTGCTTCGACGACAGTTGTCCCGTGTTGAAAGAGCAGCTATCGTAATAGTGTAAACATAAAACTATCACAGTGGCAGGGTTTGTGACCGGTGATTTTTGATAATTTTCCATGACACGAAGATACTTTTGCACGCGAACTACAATTCAATTGAATGAGGAAAACGACGGATAAACTATATCATTGTGACTTTATATATGTGCGACTTCGTATATCTATGTAAATAAATATACCAAGCTCTTGAGACTGATATGTCGTTCACCTTCTTTTTTCAGGATGTAAAGTGCAACAGCAAATAGCAGAGACAAACGAGACTGTTGTTTGTTAATAATTTATTATAATGGCTTGGTACCTATACATCTCTTAAGATAGACAATCATCACAAATAACGTGTAAAGTGGGTATACACCGCGTACAAAAGGCGCAAAATGTCGATAAAGAGTCCTCTTTTTTTTTCTTCTATGTCCTACGTTAATAATCATCGAGATAAAATCGCGATGAAATCAGATATGTAGAAATTGTTTCTTTAATCGAGTGTTATAAAAAATGTGCACGTACAATAGCGCTAACAGTGAGTTATGTACGCAATGCACATCCCGATACTTTCGCAATGCATGCGTTTTACTGTTTGTGCGTGTACGAAGAAAGGTGACCGATATATTTATTCGTTTTGAGAAAATTCACATAAAATCGAAAAGAAATTGAAACGTATTGTGACGCAATTAAAATCTAACTTATCTCTAAAATATTCGTCAAAAAATTCGTCTTTTCTTGTCAATTATATATTAACATTTTTTGACGTTATGAAATTATAGCTCTTTTAAAACATATATTAAATAATTAAATATAACACTGTTTTAAAATAAAAACCTCGGCTTTGCCAGGTAGAAATATATCTAAGGAGGAATCGCAGAAATTGGAGATTACATAGAGCACAAAGATGTGTCGCGTGACTACCGTCGGTTTCCAATTCGTGAGAGAAGAAGGAAATTCTTTGCTCGGGCATCCACTATTATTGCACGCGACAATACTAGCATTATCACATGCGCGGTTTAAGATGGGAAAGACAATCTGTCTTACGTAGATATTTATTAGTTCAACTCTGGTCAGCGAATGGACCTTTGTAATTTTCGAAAACGTTCTTCCATTACGCTTTGTATTCATCGCAATACAGATAAACGCAGACAAACATAAATCTGCTTTTGCAGCAGGATTTTAACTTCGTATGAAATTCCTTACAATCGCGATTAAGGTTTAACTCCAAGTCTTGATTATAGAATATTTAAAAAGAAACCATCAGTTTTAATTTCTTCAATCATTGTACGTTGTGACTGCATAGTTTTATTACACGAATAAAATTCAAGGGAAAGGCGAAGTCTCGTTCCAATAATAGGATGGGATTGCAGTTCCCCGTGAGTTGTATCCACCATTTGCTGAGAAAAGGAAACTAGAAAACCAGATATTCCATGACTGCAGCCAGGTAGATGCGTCGGCGTTGGTGTATCGGTTTACTTGACTGCAATCATAGAATGGTCTGGCCGCTGAAGTTTTGGAGTTAGCTGACAAGGCCGCTCGTGACAACAAGACTAGGATCATTCCTCGTCACCTGCAACTTGCTATCCGCAATGACGAGAAATTGAACAAGCTGTTGTCCGGTGTAATCATTGCTCAAGGTGGTGTTTTGCCGAACATCTAGGCCGTATTGCTACCCAAGAAGACCGAGAAGAAGGCATAATTATAATCTGATACAACGCCTTTCCCTTGCCAGATAAACATATCGAATCTGAATTGAAAACAAAATTTACTATACAATAAATTAAATTAGTATAAGCAAAAATACATTTTCGTATCCCAGTGGAAGAAATTAAGAAAATTTTTGCTTATATAAACTAATGAAGACAAATAAAAAAAAAATCCCAAGTCAAGTTAGATAGTCTAATATGCAGTTTAAAAAATATGCAATAATTTTAAGATCAATATTTCATCTTTTCTATCATCTTTCTTGATAAGCTTATTATACTCCTTTTTGGTATGGATTGACAATTGGTATCCTGCACGTAAATATATGTATATAACACACCAATTGCATAACGCAGGTGAAGTGTGTCCTTAAAATAAACGGAGTATTAAACAATTATTGCATAAATCAATGAGCGAGTGGTTCGCACTGGGTATCCCGACCCGGCTACTGGGTGGGGGTGATCGCGAGCAAGAAACGCAGTTTTTTTTATCTATCGCTATGAGAAACTATACTGTCGTCACACTGAAAAAGTATGCAGCATGTTGTCTATTCGCCGTGAAATAAAGTGCAACGAAGCGCGCGTGTCCAACGGATCGTCCGCTGTTCGTCGATCGACTCATCATCGATCACGATCGCGAGACCGCCGTTGTCGAGAGAGACGGACATCTTCCCGGCAATCGAACCGTGTTGTTGGCCATCGATTCGTTCTTATTAACATTATGTGAATATCATTCTTATAGAATCAAAGCCGCCTAGCATCCAACGCCTTGTTGAGGTCACTGACTAGCATGCCGAGAATGGGTCTATGTTCAGAGTCGTATCGGAACACCGAATCCAAAAATTTAGGGTACGCCAGGAAGTCGAACACCTGGTCGCAACGTTGTGACGACTTGTCCGTGAGATGTGGCTTTATCAACTGCTGGAGCAACGTTCGGCAACGTTCCATTGAACCTGTCAGGTACTCCTGGTCGTAACTATAATCCACCTCGTAGAATGATACGACAGTCATCACCACTGTCCCCAGAGCTTCTCGGATCTCTTCCAGCTTCTCGGCGTCGTTCGAACGGAACTGATGACTGCGCTGCACGAGTCCAATCTACGGATTGCATTTCATGAGTTAATTTATGCATTCAATGAAAATTAATATCATACAAATACAAAATTAATTTTGCGTTTAATTTATATTATACGTATAAGTAGCTAATTATTATGCTAATTATTAGCATTTAACAATAACATTATTCCAGTTTTATCATTACATACAGATGAGATAAAGTAAAAAAGAGGTGAAATTTTCAAAGTACACGTGTCTGCATTAAAATAAATGTATTTATTATTTCATGTTGATTAAATGATGCTAATTATTGAATTTTTAATTATGGAAGATACAATTCAAAACAGTTCATTGAACGTCATGTTAAATTATATTTTACATTTAAGTTGTTCCTTTCAGAACTTCAATTTCAGATATCTATAAGTTTGCAGGAATAAATAACATATACAATTTCTATTGATGTTTTTTTTCTTCTCAATCGGCTTGAAACTTATTCAAGCAGAATCTGCTGTTAAAATTAAAATCTGGATTCTGGAATGCTTTACGTATACCTTAATAGACAATTTGACGATGTTCTTGAGAACCTTCTCGGGCTCCTTCTTGTCCAAGTGTGGGTTGCTCTTGGCGACGCTTTCCATCAGTTTGTACAGATTATCAAGCAACGACGTCGTAGCGTCGTCAATGAAGAGCGATCGACCTGCATTAGTGGACATTATGCGGCCGAGAAGCTTCTTCTGGGCGCGTAGCCCTAAATCGCGGGTGCGACTTCCGGTCCCGCCACCGGCGGAATACGATCCGCCGCCTCCACCTCCGCCTCCGCCGCCACTTCCGATTGTGTTTGCCGACTGCATCACTGCAATATTTTCGCACAGTGAACGACCGCTGCTCGTGTGCATTGTGCGCGTTCGTCCGTGTTCTCGCTTTTATTTAGCGGTAAATGCGACCGTGTGATCTCGGGCTTTATTCATTTGAGGCGAAGCTCGCGTCCGGTAAAAGTCTTCAACCGTTAATATATTGCAAATAACGAGCTTCTTTTATAATAACATCAATATTTAGCGTCGTTTAATATTAGAAATGACGCTATTCACAGCACGCTTCATCCGAAGGACATCTTGAGAACGCTCTTCAGACGTAAATACGTCTTCTGGATGTCTTTAGGACGTCCGTTGGATGTTTGTATTGTAAGTATATGTATATGTCTAATATTACAGTGAGAGAAAAAATTATTACAATTACCATAATTTAGCTATAATTTATAGTAATTTTTTGGGACAACTATATAATTTATATAGTATTTTAACCATAGTAAATATAGTCAATTGTGTTATTAATAATAGTCCTACAATATTTGAAAATCTTTAGTTTTTTTAACATATTTTTAGTTATTATTACCATTAAATAGTAAGTGAATTTAAAAACAATTCTATAATTGCGATTATATTTACATATATATGTTATCTTTTCTCTCAGTGTAGAAATATATAATCGACATTTATTTAAAAATCGAATTTGTATCAATTTAATATAAATTTTACATTTTGTATTTATCTAACACGAGAATTTAATATTTCAAAATTATTGCGTAATAATATTTATACGTAATACAAGATTGCACTTAACGTGAGCTATCACATTTCACTTAGCGATAAATATTCCATGAAAAAAAAACCGTCATTTCCTCAAACCTACGGTTGAACAACTTATACTCGTGAACAAGGGAACAAAAGGCTTGCGTGTTTGAATGTGGTACAAAAGTAGAAAGTCTGATGACTTGGGGAGACGGAACGTTACAATTTCAACCTCCTGAGAATGGCGCGAAAGTGGCTGTGAGTCTCAACGAGGTTTTACAACTATGGCTCGGTGTGCGTATGTTTCTGTTTGCACACTTCGTACGATGAACTTACCATCAAGCATCGGTAGATCACCGTTTCCTCTGGATTGTGATAGCGGGTGTGATGGTAAATTAAATAAAGAAGCGACGATTGTGCGTGAATAATGTCCAGGCAAACTCAGGCAAACGTAACTAAAATAACCAAGGGTTAATAAACGGCGAATCGTTCACATGCGTAACATAAATGTTGCGGATTCATGGAAATGCGCGAGACACGATGAATGGCGAATCTTCGCTACCTTGATTGCAGTCGGTGACAGCCACTAAATGATAGAGCAACCAGCTCTGCAATTCCATTACGGCTGTGCCCCACGCCACCTGCAAAAATTTCAAAAAAGATTTACAGAAAAATCTGTAAATATTTTTTAACATATATAATATAAATATTTTTAGACATACATAAGACGCTAACACAAAGATTTGATGAGAAAATTGCATCTCCTCGAAAATTACGTAAAGTTTCGTTTACGTTGAAGTTTCCATCGCGAAGTTCATCGTAGAAATAGAAATAAATAATAACGGTATAATAAAATTATTATACTGCAGAAGTTAATTTATAATTATTCAGTTAATTTATATTATAACACAATTAGAGACAAAATTAAAATTTTGTTTTCAGAAAAGGCATTAAATATTGATGTAATTATCATGGGACTATCGTCGCTTATAAATTTCTTTCAACAAAATTCTCACGGGAATATTTTGTATATTAAAAAAATGTATTTAATTTTAAGATATTAAAATGTTTTTATTCTTGTCTTCGTTTTTTAAACATTTAAAAATGTTTTAAACTTTTTCAATAAACAAAACATTATGTGTTTGGATTTGAAATTGACACTAAAACATTTAAAATTGAAATATCTTTTATTATTAAATGTTTATTTTGCAAAGATGTTTCAAACGTAAACATTTTAAACACTGCACTTTTTACAGTATGTAACAAACAACAGCCAATATCGAAAGTGGATAAGAAATTTTTGTGACTTCTTCATTCTTGTAAAAGTTAATTATTGTGAAGCAAAATGAACAACATTTGTCCAAAATGCATTCAGCGAATCGTTGCCCGATTCCTCGAACGCAAAGCCGCTACAAAACCCGTCGAGATAAAGTTAATTACACTTCGTTGCCTGAGTTAAAAGCATCATCAAAGATATAAATTGATTGGTTCATAATCCAAATTTACTCCTCTTGAGAGAAACATGCTTTTCAGCAAAATACAAAGATTTTTTGCATCAAACGAAATAATAAATGCCGAAAAATAAAAATTTTCATGCACGTCTGCTTTCTCTAATTTATTATTAAATTCATAATGTCAAATTATATCTCATATCCAATTTAAGTCATTTTTAATCATTTAATATAAATCGCTACTATGCCTACTCAGTATGACGTTAATTTAACTGTACCAATGAAATTAAACAATTTAACTCAAAAAAATGTATTAATTTAACTCAAATTTAGTTTATTACTTATTAAGCGCTAATATGAATGTTGTTTACTTGGACTAAGCAATTTGACCAGAGAAATGTTTGAGAAATTAATTTTTTTAACTACATGTGTATTAAAATAATACATTTTGACACACTTGGAAAAATAACATTTTATTTTTAACTTAAGGAATTTGTTCAAATTTTATCTTTTAATATTTAACAATAAAAAATCACAGAAAGATATTCTTTATGTTTATCTCGTGTTTGTCTCGTAAATATCTTATAAATACCACCTACAGATTTTTACAATGCTATCAGCCTTGACACATATAAAGGCACTTTCAAAGGATAACTTCGGGGACACAATGTTTATTGTCTTTCTTATATAAGCTTTTTTATATATTTAAGCGTAGAATCATTCTAATGCCTGTTTCCATCAATGTAGATCAACTTTAATCTCGGTTCAACTTATTTTTCATCTATTTCTGATTCTTAGACTAGAAAAAGATGAAGAGTAAGTTAAATCAAAATTAAAGTTGATCTACATTGGTGAAGCATAAGTTTACACGAATTCCTCTATAAATTTGTAAAAATATGTTCAAACTTTGCTGGATGTTTGTTTATAAAATTTCATTAAAAATGTTTTTAGATCTAACTCGCATATTTTTTTGTCAGGAAACTATCACTCAAATTCGTGTCAAAAGGGAACGTCATGAAGCGTGGCCGAGAAGCTCTCCCTCACTCGTACAATTCGTCTTAACAAGTGCGAATGATCCTAATGCTGGAAATGAAATGTAATACGAGCCGACGGCATCCATGTCGCACGCTATCATTCGCATCTATACATACACACGGGCGTACAATATAAGGCACTACTTTTGCCAGAGTTGGATCGATTTAGTAAGGAGCGTCAAGGAGAGCCAGAGACTCTCATTCACCTTTGCACGGTCGAACTGACAGCGAGCAGTCGATTAAAACTCAAGCAATTCGCGTCAATCCATGCAGCCTTCCGTTTTAGATATTTCGTTACTGCAGAGTGAAGTAATATCGAGTTCAATAAACTAAACTCCACGTGCAATACTATTATATACAGAGAAATCTTTCGGCTATATAAAAAAAAATATATATATATAATATCATAATTAAATTTATCGTCGATTTAATAATAATGCTATTAGCATTTTAAAACACTATAAGGAACTTAATGCGAAAAATATCCTGGCTAAAAGGTAATATTTTTCGCAATTCGCAATAAATTCTTTATAGTAGGTATGTAAGATTATGCTAATGAAAAACTGAAAAGTTTAAAAAATAAATAAATAGCATTAATAATGAAAAACTCAGAAAAATGTTGGATATTAATTATAATACGTATATTCGTTAGAGTTCGTTACAATATTTAATTTTCATGCTTAAAATCTGTAAAACTCAAAATATTGTTTACAATATTATAGCAAAGAGATTCTTTCCATTCCATAAAATCCGTTACATTATTTAAATCTTGAATAAAAAGAAATTAGTTCGATTTTGATTCTTTTCGATGTTTGTTTTTATCGGAATTTCGGTTGATTTCATCTTATTTCTTTGATCTCATCGTATATTTTTACAGAAAATCGCGATTGCGCGTATCGAATTTTTTTATCGTTCGATTCTCATTGCTAAATTTTTAATAATTATCAAAATACAAGGAGGGGATTTTTAATAATTATCAAAATACAAAATATAAGTTAATCTAAACCGGTATATAAATAAATAAGGAAAGAGTAAATATATACGGTTGAGATTACAGATCTCGAAATACCTAATAATATTTTTATCTATAAATTCTAATTCTAAATACATATTTTAGTTATAGAAATTGCGTGTCACTTATACTGTTGGACTTGAAACGCAATCATATATATATATATATAAACTACAGTTAAAATAATAGTATTATAATTAAATTGATCGTCGATTTGATAATGATGTTACTAATATCTTAAAATATTGTATTTTAATTTATATCGAAAAATATCTTTGCTGAGATAATATTTTTCGCAATAAATTCTTTTTGCAACGAGTTAATACAGTATTTTAATATATTAGTAATAACATTATCAAATCGACGATCAATTTAATTATTATTATTTCAGATTCATGTTTGCTTTATTCGTTTCCAGTTCGACAGTGAGCGGTGTACAATTTATATAACTGAAAGATAAATCTAGAATTTACATATAAATTTACATATAAAAATATTATGCACCAAAATGTACCCTCGATCGTAATAGTCATTTCTTTACTTAAAAGAAGAATAATAATACACTGAAAAAATTTACTAAATTTTAATACATATTTCTTTGAATAACACTAAGTAAACATTTAATTACAACAAATATTTATTTAAAAAATATAATAGTAAATCAAATTAATGATTTTTGTATCAAATAGATATATGTTTAAACTTGATAAATATCTACTTAGAACTCTATTCAAACAAATATTTATGAAAATTTAGTATTTTTTTTAATGTACAGGAACGATAATGCAAATATAAAAAAGACGAAAATATAGACTAGATTCTAGTCACTGAAATATATTTGGATAAATCATAAAATGAAAAAAAGAACATCGATCGTTTAATCCCATTTTTCATTTTTATCAAAGTGCTCAGTTATTAGGTTATTATGTTAGTATCACGTTCGCTTCGTTATAAATATCCACTTTTACGAGTCATAGCACCGCTGTTTCCGAATCCAGCCACCCGGACGAAATTACACAGGGATAATACGTTATGAATGATCGATCGTTGGACACTTTCGCTCTCTCCTTTTCCTCTCTTGGGGTGGGATTTCATTTGTGCGTTTTTGTCGTACGACAAATTTTTCAAGCCTGTTGATTGACTATAGGATAGAGAGATTCGAGGACATCTCTGTCCTGCACACATTTGTTGTACGACAAAAACGTAATGAAATCCTACCCTTGAACTTCCGGGTTGTCGGAGGCTTTTGGGGCTTTGTTTAGGTGCCCACGTTGGCGTTTTTGGGCACCTGTTTGTTGTCGCGTGCTCGTTCAAACAATGCCAATCATCGCCAATAGTCAATTGTTGCACTAAATGCGCAATTTCTCGCGGAAAATACGCGTCCAAGTTACTCGATGCAAAAATGTCACGTGCGCAAAAACGAAATTACGCACGCAATAGATTATCGACCATTTGGCAAAATGGAAGAATAAAATTTTTTTTCGTCAGTCGATGATTTGTGATCGACAGAATACATGCGCATATTCGCATTAAACTCTCGATAGAGAGAGAGAGAGAGAGAGAACGTGTATTATTTTAAATTCTCTTTCCAATGAAAAAGAAAAATAATTTAATTTCGTTGAAAAATACATTTTATAAGAAATTCATTTTTTCATCGAACAGCGAATTTATTGACAGCTGAATTTCTTTTAATTCTTATACAGAGACATATTATTCCTGGTAAATATTTGCAGGGACAACTCGATTGCGAATCCGAGCTCGTGGAAAACATCGGTATCTTCTTTTTATTTCTAATCGACGATGGCAATCGTGAACAAGGAAAAAAATCGTATCTCCGTTAGCACACTAGTAGATCCGGTTACTTCGCAGTATCGAATAATTAACTCGAATAAACTGGAATCTCTTGAGGTAACTATTTCTTCCCCGCATGTATCTTTCACGACCGTCCATCAGGTGGCTTGTCTTCGGAATATTCGATCGGTAGCTATAAATAACCACGTGTATCTCCCGTGATTGATTCGATTTACCTTCCCCAACCAGCTTGATTCGATATGTACATGTCGTGAGTTTCCCATAAAACGCAGCGTTCCACGAGGATCCTAGTCGCTTCGTGGAAACCAGTTTGGCTGCGACTCGGATCTTCG